AGAAAGAAAGAAAGAAAGAAAGAAAGAAAGAAAGAAAGAAAGAAAGAGAGGAAGGTGATAAAGAGGGAATGAAGGGAGTGAGGAGGAAAGAAGGAAAGAATAAAAAGAGGAGGGAAGGAAGAAGGGAGGGAGGAATGGAGGGAGGGAGAAAGGAAGTAAGTAGAAAGAAATGAAAGGAGGGAGGGAGAGGAAGGACAGATGGAAGGAAGGATATAGGAAGGAAGGAAAGAAGGGAGGAAAGAAATAGGAAGGAGATAGCAAGGAAAGGAATAAAAAGGAAGGAGGGAGGGAGGAAAAGAAGAAAAAAGAGATGGAGGAAGGAAGGAAGGAAAGAAGGGAGGGAGGGAGGAGGGAATAAAGAAATAGGAAAGAGAGGAAGAAAAATGGAAGAAGGAAGGGAGGGAGGAAGAAAAGAAGAAAAATGAGATGAAGGGAGAAAGGGAGGAAGATATTTCATGGACAAAACCGGAAGCAGGAATTCTGGGTGTGAATCAACTGAGATTAGGAGAATGGGGTGAGGTTTTTACACCTGGGCTCACCTGTGCAGTTCCTCTCCTCAGCATCCAGAGCGAAGCCGCTGCCACAGAGACACCGGAAGCTCCCGATGGTGTTGCGACAAGTGCCGTGGGTGCAAAGACCAGAGAACATCTTGCACTCATTCACATCTGGGGAAAGGCAGAAAGACGATGGTTCAGTATCAGTATCGCTCTTTATGAGGGCCTCAACAATCCTCAGAGAGAGCACAAATGACCAGAGGATTGCAAGGAATATAAATCCTTCTGTTCTCCGCCATTCAGTCAGAATGGAAGAAGCTTCTTGGATGAGAAGCGAAACATCTTTGAAGAAACAAAAAAAATCCAGCTGCCTCTTGACTGAGAATCTCCAGAGATGCTCAGACTACCACCTGTTGGAAGTGCAGGCTCCTATCCTTTTGGGAAGAGCAGGTAAAGGTGCTTATGGAAGGATATCCTTACTGTACCAGACCACAGAAAGCGAGTTCTGTCCATGATGAAGCTGCTTAGGTGTAGCAGAGAAGAAACTCAATTCCAGACAACTGCAATCCTCTTTCCTAGAAGTTCATTACAATTGAACCTTGTTGGATGTAGTATCAGCCGGTTTGGACCGGTTTGGACATACCGGTTGTGGAAATTTTGAGTAGTTCAGAGAACTGGCAAATACCATCTCTGGCTGGCTCCACCCACCTGCCTCCGCCTCTCCTATATTCCCTTGCTTTTTTTAGCTCAGCTGATTCCCGCACCTCAGCTGAGCTAAAAAACAGCACAGCTCACCAGTTGTGATGACCCAAAGGGTCGTGGCACAAAGGCAACCCAGTCAAATAAGCAAGAAGAGTCCCTTTATTATCTCCAACTTTGCCCCCAATGTCCAGGTTACCTTTGGCTGGAGAAAAACTCTCCCAGGAACAGCCTTTGACTGCAAGAAAATTCAGTCCAAAACATGGTCAACACAAACTGTAACTTAAAGTCCAAACAAGCCAAACTGAACTAATTAACTTGATAGGGCAGGAGAAGGAATTTCAGACTTGAAAGCATAGCAAAACTCACACAATTGGGAAACCAGGAACACAGATAAGCCACGACGACACAGGATAAATTCACGATTTGCTCCCAACAACTTGCTGTGCGCAACTTCCCTTTTTAAACACTGTGTTCCCAGTTGCAGCTCACGAAGGGAATCGGGGCCCTTTCCTCCCCTATAAGCCATGCAGTTCCCATTGGTTCCTTCTCCGTTCCTCCCTGCATGCCCTTGGATGAAGAGGGGGTGGGCCTGGGTCTTCCTCTGAACTCCCTCACCCTTGTTCTACCTCTTCCCTGCTCTGCCCAGCCACACTTTGCCCTTCCCCAGTTTCTTCCACAGCCAACGGAGCCACACTCCCACTCCCTGTCAACGATTCGGCTTCCCCCTCTGAGTCAGGATTCCAACAGGGGCATGACACTAGCGTTGATACAGAAGGCGGTCTTTGAGCCCTGTGCATGCAAGCGTGAAGTGCGCTCTCAGAACCGGTAGAAAAACATTGGAAACCCACCACCGCACGATGCATTCAATCAAACACTTGCTGCAAATTATTCCGTTTCTCGGCCAATAGCCCAGCACTGTCGGCATACAAACTTGCTTCTCCAACCCACACATTTCTAATTCCCCCCCAGCAGTGGGTTTAAGGGGGATCCTCACTCCCCACTTCAGGCTGCCCATTGATTCTCAGCTCTCCTTAACTTCCATCTTTTCCCCCATGGATGGATTTTTTGCAATCGCAGAAATTCCGCACCCGCTCCTCGCACCTTTGTAAAAAGGCCTGCCGGATAAGACGTCTCCCCTGTTAGCAAAGCCGGGTCCCCGTGGACAAATGGCTTTGAATTCAGCCGAGCCGGGCTTCGGGCATTCCTCGCAGTCCTTGCCCCAGGCCGCCCCGACGGAGCAACAGCAAAGGTCAATACGGTATTTCCCTGGCAGCGCCACGGTGCACTCATCCTCGGCCCACTTCATGTAACACTGCTCCAGCCGCACGTCTGGATGGGGAAGAGACGAGAATGAATGGAGAAGTTGGAAAGCTGGGGTGAGGATTGCCCTTAGTGAAAAAGAAGAGTGGGGGTTTTCTTTCTTTCTCTTTCTCTCCCTCCTTTCCTCCTCTCTCCCCTTCCCTTCCCTTTCTCTTCCTTTTCCTTCCACCCATTCCCCTTCCTCCT